TATTTGGTTGCCATTAATGGGATTGCACGGTGCGGCACTGCCGTAGAGTGATAATGCCACACATGTTAGAACTGCCTCATAATAAATTGATACGTGCATTGCCTCACGACTTGTATTTGCCTTCAGTAATGTGAAATAGTGATTTTATCGCACACTGAAGTCAAGAAACACGGAGAGATTTCTCGGCAAGGGTATCTGTGCATCACCCTCGGTGTCTCTGTATTTGTACCTCGGTGTTTTTCTCCATGGATTTGTGCAGCTTTGTCCTCGCCCTCTATCTTTGTGTCCTCTGTGGATGCAGTAAAAACATCTCTCTGCGTCTCTCGTCCCTCTCCAATCTGCTGCATCCCGGACCCAGAGCCACAATTGGCTAACTCCGCCTCTCTGTCTCGATCGGTGTCTATGTGTTTCTGTGTACCTCTGGGTGCGTGTCTCATTGTATCTATAGCTCTGTGCTTCTGAATATGCTAATTTCACTATTAATGTATATTTGTGTTAGTTAATATATATTTTTGTTACATGAGTGTTATTTATAACTTTTAATGCAAAGCCATAATTTAGATAACTCTATTCAGTCGAACACACTAGATCAGAATCAGAATATGTATTTATACTGGAGGAATCCGATGAGCTATAAAGTTATTTTTCACAGATGTCCAGTCGGGGCAGGTCAGAACGTTACATGAGCTATGCAAACTATAGAAAATGTATACAAATCACTTAAAACATGTATACAAATAAAACTAAACTATTTTTTATCTTGATGCCAACCCTAATGCTTTCATTATACACTTACAACGTTTCCCTTGGGTTTTTTGGGGGAAATCAGAGCCAATGACAATTATGAAATTGTGCTCCGATTGCTTTGAAGAGCTGCAATTTATACGGCGGTCGTAACGATCGTGCGAAGCAGTTGGGAATATCAGTGCGCTCATCATCTCTCTTAATCTTGCTTAAAATATCTCAGCACAGTCCAAGGGATGTAACGAGGCGCTGACGCTCGCACAGGAGCACACTGATGTGGTCGTATCCTCGCCGCATTCAGCGCGTGTGCGCGCGCGTGCCTCGGTAGCCGCGCAGAAACCGCTTCGTACAAATTCACAAGACGGAGCTCATTTGCGAGTTGTCCCTTGCGCGTGCCGGGTAACTCGGAGCGGTCAAGTCAAGGGGCCGTCCATAAATGACGTGACGCGATTTTGGAGATTTTTTAACCCCCCCCCCCCCGTCACAAAAAGTCAGACCCCCCTCAAATATGACGTCACAAAGCTCTGCCCCCCCCCCCCCAAAAAAAAAACATGCTTCAAATCGCTTGAAACTATTGTCATTGTAGTGCGTATTTAATATGGGGCTGCACTCTGATGTTGTAGGAGAAAACATTTATTTAAAAGTCTATTTAATTAAGTAGAACGTGTTGTCTATATTTATTTGAAGTTGCGCATTTTGATGTGACGTCACATTTCTCACCCCCCCCCCCCCCCTCGTCACACATCGTCACAAATGTCTTATGAAGTGTGCTGGCAGGGAAACACCAATTCACGTGAAATGTTCTGCAATAAAGTTGGATATAATAATCAAATAGCTGTGTCAGAGCACAACAGATGAGATTAGAATTTCGCTAGCAAGCGAATGCTGAATCTCTGGTAAGGGGCCGTCCATAAATTACGTCACGCGATTTTGGACGATTTTTGACCCCCCCCCCCCCTCGTCAAACGGCGTCACAAAAAGTCAGACCCCCTCAAATATGACGTCACAAAGCTCTGCCCCCCCCCAAATAAAACATGCTTTAAACTATTGTCATTGTAGTGCGTATTTAATGTGCCGCTGCACTCTGATGTCGTAGGAGAAAACAGTATATTTAATTAAGTAGAACGTGTCTATATTTATTTAAAGTTTGCGCATTTTGATGTGACGTCACATTTCTCAAACCCCCCCCCCTCGTCACACGTCACAAATGTCTGACCCCCCCCCCTAGGTACGTGACGTCATTTATGGACGGCCCCTAAAAGAAAAAAAACAGAGTTAATCAAATGGATCCGTCACGATCACCACACTGCTGGACGAAGGCCTCCTACAGCATCACAATCACTCGTTATGCAGTAATACCACGATGCTACCTCTTCCCCTTATACGTCGTTTTGCAAATACATCGTCACTTTATTTCTACCGCTTCGTGATGTGCGTCACCTCAACCCACAACACTTAACGTCGCTGACCGCATCGTCCATCCTTTATCATTATCCGTCGCCTCTCATCCTTCACCTACGACTACTAACTACCCTGCAAGTCGCTTTAATTTACCTCGTTTCGATATTCGTCGTCGCACCTTCCAGGAACGCATCCCCGACGCTAACCGGGATATTGCTGTACCTTGCTCCTGCGCATGCGTCGATTGTATTGCTCCGTCTCCACAGTAGACGTCCTCTCTGGTGCGTTCACACCTTTACTGCCACTTTAGACTCTAGACCACATTTCTTAAATCGATGTCTCCGCCTGACGCTTGTTCTGTGATACGTGTGGTTTTCTTTCTTTCTTTGCAATTCCAAGCATGCACCTCTCCGTTTTTGTAAATTGATGCGGGGCTAACATCACTAGCCCCGGCCACTTCTTCATGACCCTTGGGTTACACCCATTTCAAACCTTCTAAAACAGTCTGCATCATCAGCAGCAGACCATGCTTTCCCACCTGATAACGGACGCTTGTGTTGCGCCCGAAACGTCGTGATTTATTTTCTATTTACGTGACTTTACCGAAAGAACCAAAGAGTATGGATTCCTGCAGTCACGAAAGCTTCAAATCAAGATTGAGGTAAATGGAATTCAGATTTCTGAGAATGTAAGTCACTTGATATGGCATTAGCCTCCCACTGGCGAGCATGCGAGTTAAAATCCCAACCCCGGTACCAACTGATTCTCATGGCTTGAATACAAATGAGAACCATCTGGAAAATATATTCGCTCTGTGGTCATCAGTTGTTGTGCTACGGAGACTGGTACCCGTTATAGAAATGTGGATTTCCACGACTATCTCTGGACAATCAATGAGGATGATCACTTCCTAAACCTGTTTTCAACATGGAAATACTTTGGATCCTCCATCATTTCTTGAAACCATAATCGTAAACTGGTGGCGAGATGTTAACTACCTTGCCTGGTAAAAAGGTCGTGGGTTCGATCCCAACCCTGACGCCTGCATATTTGGAGTTTGCAAGTTCTCCCCGTGGTCACGTGGCTTATTCTCTGGGTCCTCCGGTTTTTCCCTCCACATTTAGAAACATGCGTGTTGAGTATTTGGCTGCTATATATTTTCAGTGGGCCTTACTTGGTAAAATGAAAATAGTAAAAGTTTTTTATTTATTACATGTGCATGATTACTGAGGTGGAGCAGTGGAAAAGTGGTCAGTCCACTGCGCTATTAACCAGATATTCAATTCCCGTGGCTAACATCAGTATCGAGTGTAAAACTGAACAGGCCCTGGGCCCTTTCTCCAACATGAAGTACACTGACACCAACCCCATGGCTGACACGGGGTGAGGCTTTCATCCAGCGGTGGATTGACAAAGAGCTGTATTATACAATTAGCAACGTTCACTCGGGCAGACAGCTATTGTGGATATTCACTCTCTTACCTGCAACAGGGAGAAGGCAGTGCAGAGGGTAGGCTGTACAAGTCTGGACAGAACAATGTCACATTTGTATTTCTTGTGTGCAGAATACTACATTGGCATAACACGCACTGATGCCTGACGGCAACTAATGAAAGTCAGTGTCATGTTACACCGTATGGCGGGGTCTAGGCACACATTTATATTTGGTGTTACTAGGTGATGGCTCGAATGTGTCTTAACGAGGACCCCCTTACATCATACAACCCAATCCTTCTTAATCCGTGAGCCCAGACGTCTCACTTGCCGTTACCACCCGAGGTGACATCACTTTATTGGTTCGAATTTCTGTATGTGGCCAAAAACAGTGAACTGTGATAATTTTGAAAATGAGTGGGTCATCAAATAATCTACCCTTATTAGCCATATAAATGAATCTGTACTTATAAAGTTTTGCCACATTAGGCGGAACCAATTTCTGATCGGGCCCATTGACTATCTGTAGCTTAATGGCATTCTGAATTGTTTATGAAAAAAATCCAGTCGGGGGTAAATGTATCACATCAACCCTCCCGGGTCACTGAAATGTTACCCCTTTGTAGAAAGTACACAACGGTCATCTATTTCGAGCATCTACCACAGGAATGTGGAATTTTCACCACCAGTTCAGAACAGTCCATGGAGATAAAAACCGTTCCAGTCATATGAGCATGGGTACACTTATTATCGATGCCTTGTATCTTTCAAAACGTACTGTTTGCAGTTTGCATTTCTCACCGAAGGTCTCCCACCCCTCGAGATATTCAAAATAAAACTTATTAAATAACGTGAGATAAACATGACGAATGACAGGGTTTATCGTAATCCTGGAACGTATTGATGACGAATGTAAATGTTAAATTTTTATGATTACACAAAACAGTTGCTAATGATAACTGCTTGTGATTTTCCCTGAATTCTGAGCCGACACATCAAAATGGCTCCTGCGCTCGACCAAGTAACAGATCTTAGGTTTCTTGGGTAAAGTCACGTAGGTAAAAAATAAAATTAATAAAAGTAATAATAGAAATAAAATAATAAATCACGTTTCAGAGGCAACACAAGTCTCCGTCATCAAAAGACAAAGAACGTGTCTTTTGGAATTTTCCTCACTTGATACAGCAAATCTAGCCGTGACGGTCCCACCTGATGACAGAGACTTGTGTTGCCTCTGAAACGTCGTGATTTATTATTTTATTTCTATTATTACTTTTATTAATTTTAATTAAATTTTTTACCTACGTGACTTTACCGAAGAAACCTAAGATTATGAATCCTTGCAGTCACGAAAGCTTCAAATCTAGAATTAACAGATAATACTCCTCTCCATTAGCAGCCTTTATCGAGCGGTAGAAATTCCACATTCCCATGATAGGAGCCAGTCTGAAAGTAGGACATTTACTGTGTTATTCCAAAAAAGTTGTTTTCATTTTATGGACTATAAATGGGCGAACGATCGCTAATTTGGGCACGCACTTTGTCACAGAACACTTCCACTCCACAAAAATAACTCGTATGTTATTCAGCCATAAATTATTTATTTTTCAAATTCATGGGGTGTGGGCTTATGCATATGAATTTTGTTTAAAAAAACATTTTAAATATTTTTGATTGGATTTTTTTTACAATAATCCCTTTGAAAGGGTGGTATCTTTACATTTCAGAGAAAATTACATCTTGAAAATGTTGTAAGATAGAAATAGCAACTGGATGTGGCACACGGGTTAATGCTCATGTCAGACTAATGATCTGTCACCAACGAGGTGGGTTAAATTTTACACTCGATTTAAACCTGGTTCTCAAGTCTATTGAGTTCACAGTCTCAAGTCTGGTCACGAGTGTTAATATTCGACACTTGCTTTTCACGTAATTTGATACAAGCTCTAAAGTATATTACATTAGAATTGGCCAATCACACGATTGTTTACATGTGCGAGGAAACCGGAGTACACCCACAGAAAACTCACGTGCGTTAAATAGCAGCACAATCCCATGCAGATGGAACAGGTGGAGTCCACATTTGCTGTGCACGCGTTCTCCTGGCAAGGCCAAGGGTATGGCACCTCGAAGCCCACAGGCATGGAGTTTCAGAACATTCGTTTGATCTGCCAACCCACTCCTCCGCAATGCTGGATTACAGGCACACGCCACCACGACCCGGCTAATCAGTTCCGATGTGTCATCGTCGATAAGCATTTCCCTGACACAATGCACGACTCTGCTGAGAGAATTACGGAAAGAATCTGTCTTCTGAAGAACCTTCGTCCTTCGAAGGACCTTTGTCACGCGACATGACTCAGATAACAATTGCTATACAATTGGTAATATATTAATAAAATACTATAAAGAGCTCTTCCATTGCTGCATAGAAACCCATAAACATTCATTTGTAGTCAGTCACCTTGCAAAATGCATTACGTGATTCAGTTATAAAAGCTGTGATTGATAAGTCACTGTGGATTACATTTCCAAGTCCTCTGCGAATTGTATTACTGCAATGGATTGCATTGCCCAGCCTTCCAGCGTACTTATTAACAGAGGGCGTCTAAATTTGACAATCAGTAACCCACCTGGAAAAGCAGGATAAATCAAGAATAGAGGTCCCTTTAGCAATCACACGCTAGCTAGCTAGCTAGAGTTTGCTCGTGGGTAACTTGGCGAGTCTCCTGATGTTTTTCAGGCCCCATACGGCTTTGAGATCGAGGCTGGTGTTGTTGAGCAAAGAGAAGGCAGTTGGGTCTTGGGTGCGACGGTAAGCCTCCAAGCATGGCTGCAGCAGCGCGGCGGGTACACTGAAATTGATGTGCGGGTGGCTGGCCCCGGTCACGTTGTCACGAGCGTTGCTGGAAACGATCCCTGCGGGTGAAATCAAGCCACGGCGTGAGAATGTTGAAGACGGGACGCGAGTAAATTAGGCACGGTTGAGGAGAGTGTTGAAGCAGAATTGTTTGATGTGTGGGATAGACGTGTTTTAATGCATTTCAAATAAACCAGTGACCTTGTTTTCAACCTATTAATGAACTCTCCCATTTAATAGCTTGGGGAAGGGATGTTTGGTTAGCATTGACCCTCAGCCACTCATGAGAAAAATTGTGGTCAAAGTTTGTTTATTAGAGGGCATTTATTAACAGCTCATATTTCCATGTCCAATGATGAAATCCAAGCAAAGATTTACCTTCGAATGTTGAAGCACCTAAAGGTTTGCTGTAAGGGTTCTTTTGTGTATTATAATTTTATTATTGTTGTTCTGTATGCGAACAATGTAACATCTTTATAGGGTACCCTACGGGTCTCTCTTTCAAATCAGCTGAGAGCTGAATGTTACTCACCCACGTCACCCATAATAAGTGAACTGAACCACTGTCTTTCAAATCTGACAAATGCTTTCTGATTTCACCAAGAGTTTTATCAGTAAGCGCTTTAACTGAAAGCTATTTGAAGCACATACAATAATTACAATTCACAGACCATTGCAAATAAATGTGGAGGAAAAACCCGGAGGACCCAGAGAAAAATCCACGCGACCACGGGGAGAGAGAACATGCAAAGTCCAAATATACACCCACGAGTTCGTGTACACCAAGCAAGGTAATTAGCGGCTCGATTTAAAGCTTTCGCGACTGCAGGGATTCATCTTCTTGGTTCTTTCGGTAAAGTCACGTTGAAGGGAAATAATAAAATAATAAAAATAAAACATAACAAAATAATTCTCACGACGTTTCGGCCACAACGCAAGCAACCGTCCTCAGGTGAAGAACAGGTCTGTCGGAAAGACAGCGTTTATTATTTCCCTTCTACGTGACTTTACCGAAAGAACCAAGAAGAAGGTAATTAGCGTCTCCTAGCCACCAGGGCACTCACCCAGCAGCTCGCCACTGCCGCTGCGCATCACGGCTCCCCCGCTGGCGCCCGCGTGCACGGCGCAGCTCGTGTGCAGCATGACAACTCCGCCAGCCGGGGCGCCCGCCCTGCACTCCGCTGCACCGCCCGGGAGACGAAGCGGCGCCAACTCCGTTGCCCGCAGACGCCCGTCCAGCAGCGTCACCACGGACGACATCACCCCCGAGGTGAGCGTGGGACCGGCGCGCTTCCCAAACAGCGCAAAGCCCGCCACGAGCACGTCCTCCCCTGGGCAAGCGCAGGCAGGCGAGAGAGACGAAACGCCGTTGAAGCGTTTCACATCGGACACGTGTTCTTCGGTGTTTCGGTAAAGAAAATTACAAAAAACTATGACGTTTCGATCGCAACACAAGCGGTCGTCTTCAGGAAAAGGGGGGTTAGCTTCCAAGGCAAACTATTTCTAAGGGTTTAAAATGGGCGTAGCCCAAATGTCAACAGCCAATGACAATGTAAGTGGTGGGCAGCCAACCTGAAGGTGGTTGGTTTTCCACCAATCAAAGGGCTGCCAGGTAAAAATTAGCATGTTGATGAGAGATTAGCATGTTAATGGAAGCTTTATCCGCACCGAGGCTCCAACAAGGCCATGCGGGAGGGCGTGGCACAGTTTGGTGCCAGCTATCGTAGAGTGCGGTCGTGTCGCTACAGTTCTTTGCGATGAGTGCAATGTCTTTAAAAAAACAGTGGCGCTTGTTCCCTAACTAAAATTAACGCTGAGCCGCTTGTGCGTTCCGACATTCAGCGGTGAACGGGGCACACCCTGCAACTTGCAGACGTCTCTGTACGTCAAAGGTTCCAATAAACTGTTTATGAGTAATGCATTATATAAGAACCCTAATCCTAAGCAAATTATTTGCTTTATATAACTCTCTTCATGCAGAGCGTCTAACAGAGATTCTTAAACAAACCTAAAAAAGCCGTCGCCCCATAAATCCAGCTCAAATATAAGTGAGATAACATTCAACTCATCGTTGTCAGCAAGGGGCAGTGCAGGAGTCCCTTCCCGCTCATCCACTGCCGCGTCGTGTGCCGGAGGAGACATTAACAGCTGATGATGATACAGGTAGGAACAATGTTCCACACTGCCCACCAGGGATTTTTTGTCTGTCTGTCGTGCATAAATATATAAATAATATTGACAGCTCTTTGATTGGTGGAGACCTACTGCCGGGTACGGAGAGGGGAGGGGCCTAAGGGAAGGGGAGTCAGGGGAGGGGCCTAAGGATATGGGGGGTTGGTCAGGTGAGGGGCCTAAGCAAGGGGGAGGGGCCGATAGTTAAGGGGGCTGGCTGCCTGGCTGCCTCAAGTCACGTGATCTTATGCACAGGTAGGAACAACAGGTTCCACACTGCCCACCAGGGATTATTTGTCTGTCTGTCGTGCATATTTTTCTGTCGTGCACGAATGCGCTGTCCAACCAAGTTCCTACCTGCCCACTCCGAAGGAACGTGTTGATATAGGCACCGTTACTCACCATGTGTGGAGGGCGATCGGTGCACTCACGGGGAGTGGTAGCGTAGCGGCTAGTGCGCTGCGCTACGAACACGGTGACCCGAGTTCGATTCCCGCTCATGGGCAACATCAGTGACGATTATCTTAACTGGTCCCGGGCCTCCCCTTGGTGGGCTCAGCCTCAAATGAGTAACTGGTGCAGTGTGTAAAACATCACTACTGGGGAGACAAACGCTGCCGGACGTGGTGTTGACCACCCACCCCCTCGTGTGCAGTTCCGGCTTTCATAGGTACTCGCTAACAGCACTTGGCCCAACAGTCTGCTAAGGCTATACGGGGTATATTTGTTTTTTGTGCCCCCCAAAAATGGTCCATATTTATCAAGGTTTACATGCTAGATACTAAACGAATTAATTTATGTATTAGACAACATAAATATTAAATTTATCAGTTACTGTAATTTATGTTAAAACAGCTTGTGCCTAGTTTTATGCACTACAAGAATCCGTGTGCCGGATTTCAAAATCATTGTAATACAATAACATTCAGCCAAAACAGCCACCGGCATCCAATAATTAATCCACATCAGCTGTTTCTAGTAGTATGACTGCAGTCGTTCGGATTATTTTGTGCCGCTACTCTCTCTCTCTCTCTTGTTCGTCCATCATAGTTGATGATGACCATGGCACGTTTGTCATTTTGTTGGGTTTGATGAGTGCGCAGATGGCTGAACAGGCCAATCCAAGCCGTGAATTCTCCGTGGCACACTGGACAGGTCAGGGAGGATGCCGCTACTAGGCCCATAAAGTTTACACTAACATCGTACAGTAACGAGCTCTGATGGTAAAATGGTACAAGCACAGCTCAGTCTTCTCTCCAAGCTTCCCCTCCCCCCCCCATTGTGCTTAACCTTTTTATATCCCTCAAGACCCCCCCCCCCTTCCATTCTCGAAGGTTCCACCGACTTTACTTTCCACAGCCAATCCTCGCCCCCCCCCCCTTCTCTAACGGTTCTCAACCGCTCGCTCTCCTGTCAGTCAACCCGGTCGTCTCCTGGCCCTTTGCGTTTGTATCTTTCCTCCAATCACCTTCAATGATCTGCCTCCAGCCAATCCGCTCTTCCAGGCCTCTCTCTGCATCTCCCCACCACACGTGGTCCCTCTCCTGGATTCGAGGCCACGTTTTGCGCTCCCCGACTGCCCGCGTTTGCACGCACAGCGTACGCACGAATGCGAGGTAAAAAGCCGTCTGTTGTGTTTCGGCATTTGCAAAAGTAAAGATGCCTTATTTGCACGATGGCAGATTCCAACGTTCGTGGAGGGGGAAATGCTCACAATGACATTGTTTCCGTCAATAATTAATTGTGAGCCTGACACTGAAGTTGCATTCCTCACCAGCTGTGTAGTGCTGTGATATCTCCACGTGCGGAATGTGGAGGCAGGATTGCGAGAGCTCGACAACAGAGAGGTCGTAGGGTGAGTCCAGGCTGGTGGCGAACAAAACTGTTCCATCCAGCCAAGTGAAGCTGTGGAAACAGTGCAATCGAAATCATTCGCGAGTGGAACGGGGTACAATCCACGCAGTGTGCGATGGCAGGTGTGGTCATGTCATTCATAGAAGTATCAGTATTAAGCTCAAAGACAGAAATACATTTTTATTAAATGGCTATCAAACTACCAACTTTATTAATATCCAGAACTATTATTTTACTTGCTTTTTTGCCCGTCAAAAGATGGGTGTATATTGCAGTAAATCTTAAATATTCAATAGAAAAATTGTTCAGCTCATGATTATTAATGAGGGGGGGGGGGGGGGGTTGCCCCATGTGGAGTTACGTCACCCGCTAATGGTTATTGGGGAGGGGTGCGGCATGTGGAGTGACGTCACTCGCTCAAGATTATCAATGAGGGGAGGGGTGCGGCATGTGGAGTGAGCGACCTTCTTGTGCGTTCGTGTAAATTGCCACGTGGCATGAATATTAATTAAGGGGGGGGGGTCTTTTTTGCAGTGACGTCACGTACGGATGTAGCAGTGTGCTGCTTAGATTTATTTTTTTTCGTCACTTTCTGTAAAGAAACGTCATATTTGAAGTGACTTTGCGTAATAAATTATTTAATTCAGCTCGACCTTCCTCTGCGTTAGTGTAAAAATCGACCCACTCATTAATATTAATGAGGGGGGGTGGGCCTCATGTGGAGTGACGTCACACGGGTGGGTGGGCCTCATGTGGAGTGACGTCAAGTGCGGGACACACACATTCTTGGCTCATTACAGTAGTACGATTGGTCAAGTTAGTGTGCTATGAATGTGTAAAGGTGTTATAAGCACCCTGAGAAATATAGCATAAGATAGCAGAGCTTTCACATCCATGGACAGGGGGTGGGGCATGTCAGATGGAGGGCAAGGAGGGATGAAACAGGTTTTTTGGGCGAGATTGCGTAAATAAATGTGTCGTTAAACCCCCCGCCACCTGACACAGCCAATTAGTAAGGTTTGTCAAGTAAACAGAACATGCCAAGTCGTCACGAGTACAGCACTACCGGTGTGTTGGAGAGCCAAGCCACAACATTTACAATCTGAGTACGACGTTTCGTGAGTAATTACAACCAGCTTCATCAGGCGAAAGCCAGATTTGGTGGTGGCGGGTTTTACGACACATTGATATATTTACGCGATCTAACCCAAGCAACCTGTATTATGGATGATATTGGTCGCGAAAGCCTCCTACGTGTTAGAAAAGAGGGATGAGTTTAGAGGAGATGCAGGGAGAGAGACGGGGCGGAGAGAGGGTGGAGGAAGATGGCGGCCGAGACTGGGAGATCCACGTGTGAATAAAGAGAGCCCCTTTTTTCCGTGTGTTCCTTCTTACAAATGTATGTTCCAGTGTAACAATGAACGTATTGATCGTATTCCAAACGTTTATTGTTTTTTTTCACAGCGATGGTGACCTTTTGTTAAAGGCATATAGATCTAAAAGTTGAAACAAACAATTGCAATATTGATCGATCTGAAAATCTGGCAGCCGTTTAAATATTGTCTGTTATTGAAGGTGATATTAATATATATCACACTTTATTCCTACATCATATCAAGCAAGGTTCAATAAACCTAAGAGTATGAATCCTTGCAGTCACGAAAGCTTCAAATCTAGAATAAAGGTTCAATAACTCAATGTTTAGTACTATGTCTCTTACAAGTACAGATAGTGGTTACCGATGAGGCTCCAGACTGTTTGCCAAATTTAGAAAAGTCCACATTGGTATATTTGAACTTCCTCCAAACATGGTCCTACTTACAGCTGTCTTCACAAAAAATGTTACCTTTCATATGTTACAAATGTTTTAGTATAATACAGTGGGATACTATTAGTTAGGGTAGCAGTGTTTTTAAGTGCATGACTCACAACTCTAAAGTTACAAATTCATATCCCCGTTTGGGTTGATGGTCTATAATCCCTCTATGGTACTATGGGGACCTCATTTGCCAGATAGAAGGGTAAAGAACCAATTATCCCTCTATGGTAGTTAAATAGTGCCAGATTGTGGGAGGTCACCAGTGGTAATCCTACAGAAAGGCTGGCTTGCACAAAGCGTTAAATTTCCACCAATCCCTCAAAGCTGTGCCAACTTGGATGATTTCTATGGCCATTGAAAATTACTGAAGCATTGAAGGTCCAAACATCTAAATCAGTAGCATCTTCAAAACGTCATACTCGATTATGATGACATCGTGCGTTTACCTCTCTTCACAAGTGTCCGCCCTGATCATGACCTTCACTTTCCCATTGGGCGCCCCTTGCACCACATGTCGGCAGGTGACCACCAATCCATGAGCCGGATCCACCATCACCCCGGAGCCCCAAGTCGCATTCTGTTCAATCAGCACCACGTTGCTCAGTCCGCCAAGCGTCCCGGTCGGACAGGAGTCCAGAATCCCCATGCAAGGTTGCATCCTGACCGATCGTAAATCCCCGATTGAGCGACTGAAATCCCCAGAAATTCTCTCGAGCGTTTGCCGGAAACTGTTCAAGATGGACGAGAAGGAGCAGACCAGGGTGAGGCCTACAAACTCGCCTGACTTCCAGAAAAGCGGCACCACGATGACTCCGGCCAGCAGCTGGCGCCCACCGGGAGCATCGGAGGAGGGGGGCGCCTCCACGAACACTGCTCCGCCCTCGGTACCAACCATGCAGCGGGCATCAGTCGTCATCAGCTCGTTATTACTGCCAGCCAGACCGCTGACGATGCCCTTGCTCAACGAGTTTAAAAAGACATCGGGGAAGAAGCTGCCAAACGGTGAGCCACACGGTGAGAACCGCTTGGACCCTTGTAAAGGTCCCTTGCTAGGATATAAGACAGTTGGGAATCAAAGCCATGGATACTCCAGCCATCCAGCGAAAGCAGAGCAAACCAACCCAGCAAGCCTGCAGCCTGCATCTGCTTTTTACTAACTTGCCACTCTGTCTCTGGCGTGCTACCTAAATGATCAATGTTATCAATAAACTTCCACTTTTCACTCTGAGGCAGCAAGTGTGACATTATTTCCATGAACTCCTTGCACGGAAACATTGTCACAATGTTCGCAGTGTGTAGCTGTTTATAAGTTGGCTTCAAATTGGACAGCTTCGGAGACACAGCTCTATGTCCCGTCACGCGTGTCTGGAGAAGTCTTCCTTTTTTGTTGGCACCACTCTTGCCAAGAGTAACTGAAATCTCCAGTTCGCAGAGATCTCTGGCTTGCATGTATCCTTTATTTTGGGCATTTTCAGAATCCAGATCTGTCAAAAAGGGGATAAATGCACTGATGGGACAGAGTACCAAGCCTTGTCTGGAATCCAGAAGGATTCCACTACAACTGCTTTGCTCCAGTTCAGAATCGCAGGGATGGGCTACCGAGTCTCGAGGACTGGGAGGCCGGCTGTCATGGTCTGCGGTATCACGATGGGATCTGATGTTGACAATGCAGCACACATTTTCTGCCATCTGGAATACCTGTTGAAGAAAATAAAATAAATATAAGCACAGACCTGATAAAACTATGGACCACCATACAGTAAAATTATAACAAAAACAATTGAGTGAAAAAATACGAGTAAAAAATATCGTGTTTTGTGAGCAATTTCTTATGTCTTTCAGCAATTCTGCAGATTAATATCCATGACCCTACAGACCACGGGTGTCGGGAACCAGTGGTCTAGAGTAGATGCACTGTCCTTTTCAAGCGGGTTTAAGTTCCAATTATCAGACCTTTTAAAGTGGGCAGATATTTATTTTGAAAAAGTAGTAAACCATTCCAGGGTAAAGCCAAGGAGGAGCAAGTCACTGAATGTTCTGATGATATTTCAGCCCCTGCCTCTACTTTCAACCATTGAAGCCAGCAAGGGTATACACAGGGCCTTGGGTGGCTCCGGTGATATTCTCTCGATTGCAGATTTGTCTCGTGCGATTCTTAAGGAACTGGTGAAGACCCATGACATATGGGTGCAGGGGACCGAGTGAGGAGACCCTCCAGAGTTCAAAGGTGGTGGACCAGGTGGCGTGTGGCTGGAGCCCTAGAATCCTCAGAGCCCCTGAATGAGAATACACGTGGCAAGGCTTGTGGAGATTAGGAAAGTTTCATAAATCCCAGGAGTAGTGATTATTTATTGTAGCGAAGACATCTGGGGGAACACCAAGCAATTCTTGACCTCCAGTGGCTGAAATAAAAACTATTAAACTATTTTTTTAATTTGACCAGGTAAGGCCCACTAGGCTATAAAGCCCTTCTTCAGAACGGACCTGATAGCTCAACGAAGTGGCTTATCACGTGGAAATTTATAGCAGCCAAATACTCCAAACGCATGTTTCTAAATATTGTGGGGCGGGTAAGAACGTTACAACAGTAAAATAAACACATGATAGTCGTGCAAAGCACAAGGTAGACAAATCACCAAAACGCATACAAATACAACTAAACCATCCCCTTCCTACCAGGCAATGCCCACTGAGGCTTATACATTCACCAAATATGATTTTTTTTTAATTATAAACGTTTATAAGAAAAGCATTTTTCTTGGTGGGGCAAAATCAGTACGGGATATTTTACTTCATTAAGAATTGCCCAGATTCATATCTGGTATTTTAAACAAAGTCTGAGTGGATTGTACAACAAATGGGTATTGTATCAGACCACAAATAGCTTTGGGTACTAGGCATTTCCTTTGATAAAACAAGTAATATTTTTTTTTTACTTTTTAAAAAACACGCTTTTATGAAATGTACTAGTAATGGCAGAACTCCACGACTCCAGGAAGTGCCCCAAAGCTTGCCATAACGTAAGGGACCGTGGACAATTAGACCCAAGCCGAAACATAACATATAAAAAGAATGTTTAAATTTTTTTATGATAGAATATAGTATTGTCATCAGTTTGACATAAGTATACCAAGTTTGCAGTCGATACCACATTGGGAAGTGGGTTAAAATTGAGTTACAAGATTGGAGGATACAACTACAATAACAAGTGAGTTAAATGAAAGCGTGTAAAAAAATACCTGTGTACCATGGTTCCATGGCAGAAACGTTAACAATAGTTTTAGAGGGATACGTGAATTAACCATCGTGTCGAGTTTTATGAACGCTTAGGTCAGGAAAATCAGTGAGTTTAACTCGCAGAGGGCAGCGAAAGAAAAAATAACCATCGTTGTAAAAATCGTTGGATTCATGTTCGCATTTTAAAACAGCAGATTGTGTGGGGAAGGGCTATTTGGGAAAGTCTTACAGGTCGTGGCATTACAAGTGCTTGATAAACCTTGCACGATGGGGCTTGTGTGTGCAGTTGGCAACAAATAAACTCACATCAGAGGAGGAGGTTCAAAGTTCAGTGAAGCCACGGGCAAGGGCACAGACACAGACCACCCTCAGGAATTAAAACCTCTTCACGGGGAATTATTTTATACCGCGATAACAAAACAACAACCACGAACAGGACAAATATACTACCTTTCACACATCAACCAAGTGCCAATGCGAACGTGTTTGTATCACAGCAATGTAACTGCTCGCAACATTCACACATTTATGTAAGCGTTAAGATACGCGTGTATGGCTGTATGCACGTGTGTGTTCATACAAACCTCCCCCATTATGTGCACAATCAACAACGGCAACGCTGCAACTGTTTATAATTATGTTCACATAATTCAGGAGTAAACTTACGATACACACACACGTGTGCGTACAAACACACAACGCAATGACTTCCGGGTCAGACTGTACCATGTGGGGAGGGGGAGGGAGTCGAGTGAGAGTTTAGACTGCACCACTTACACACAAGGAGAGGAGGGGGGGGGGGGTAAATCAGAGATTTGGACTGAACCATTCACACGAGAGAGGGGGGGGGGCACAGATTGAACTGAACCATTCACACGAGAGAGGGGGGGGGAGTCAGGACAGATCGGTCTGTACCATTCACACGGCGAGAGGGGGGGGGGGAGGGTCACAGATCGGACTGAACCATTCACACGAGAGAGGGGGGGGAGTCAGGTCACAGATTGGACTGAACCATTCACACGAGAGAGGGGGGGGGGTAGTCAGGTCACAGATCGGACTGAACCATTCACACGAGAGGGGAGGGGGAGTCAGGTCACAGATTGGACTGAACCATTCACACGAGAGAGGGGGGGGGAGTCAGGTCACAGATCGGACTGCACCACTCACATGAGAGAGGGGGGGGGAGTCATGTCACAGATTGAACTGAACCATTCACACGAGAGGGGGGGGGGGGGGAGTCAGGTCACAGATCGGACTGAACCATTCACACGGCGAGAGGGGGGGGAGTCAGGTCACAGATCGGACTGAACCATTCACACGAGAGAGGGGGGGAGGGAGTCAGGTCACAGATCGGACTGAACCATTCACACGGCGAGAGGGGGGGGAGTCAGGTCACAGATCGGACTGAAACATTCACACGAGAGAGGGGGGGGGAGTCAGGTCACAGATCGGACTGAACCATTCACACGCGAGAGGGGGGGGGGAGTCAGGTCACAGATTGAACTGAACCATTCACACGAGAGAGGGGGGGGAGTCAGGTCACAGATCGGACTAAACCATTCACACGAGAGAGGGGGGGGGGGGAGACAGGTCACAGATCGGACTGAACCATTCACACAAGAGAGGGGGAGGGAGTCAGGTTACAGATTGGACTGAACCATTCACACGAGAGAGGGGGGGGAGTCATGTCACAGATTGGACTGAACCATTCACACGAGAGAGGGGGGGAGTCAGGTCACAGATCGGACTGAACCACTCACACGAGAGAGAGGGGGGAGTCAGGTCACAGATTGGACTGAACCATTCACACGAGAGAGGGGGGGGGGGGAGTCAGGTCACAGATCAGACTGAACCATTCACACGAGAGAGGGGGGGGGAGTCAGGTCACAGATTGGACTGAACCATTCACACGAGAGAGGGGGGAGAGTCAGGTCACAGATTGAACTGAACCATTCACACGAGAGAGGGGGGGGGGAGTCAGGTCACAGATTGGACTGAACTATTCACACGAGAGAGGGGGGGGGGAGTCAGGTCACAGATTGGACTGAACCATTCACACGAGAGAGGGGGGGGGGAGTCAGGTCACAGATCGGACTGAACCATTCACACGAGAGAGGGGGGGGAGTCAGGTCACATATTGGACTGAACCATTCACACGAGAGAGGGGGGGGGAGAGTCAGGTCACAGATTGGACTGAACCATTCACACGAGAGAGGGGGGGGGGGGAGTCAGGTCACAGATTGGACTGAACCATTCACACGAGAGAGGGGGGGGGAGTCAGGTCACAGATCGGTCTGCACCATTCACACGGCGAGAGGGGGGGGGGGTCACAGATTGGACTGAACCATTCACACGAGAGAGGGGGGGGAGTCAGGTCACAGATCGGACTGAACCATTCACACGAAAGAGGAGGGGGAGTCCGGTCACAGACCGGACTGAACCATTCACACGAGAGAGGGGGGGGGGATCAGGTCACAGATTGAACTGCACCATTCACACGAGAGAGGGGAGGGGGAGTCAGGTCACAGATCGGACTGAACAATTCACACGAGAGAGGGGGGGGGTAGTCAGGTCACAGATCGGACTGAACCATTCACACGAGAGAGGGGGGGGGGGAGTCAGGTCACATATTGAACTGCACCATTCACACGAGAGAGGGGGGGGAGTCAGGTCACAGATTGGACTGAACCATTCACACGAGAGAGGAGGGGGAGTCAGGTCACAGATTGGACTGAACCATTCACACGAGAGAGGGGGGGGAGTCAGGTCACAGATTAGACTGAACCATTCACACGAGAGGGGGGGGGGGGGAGTCAGGTCACAGGTTGACGAGAGTGCTGCATCCTTTGGAAGGTGTCAAGGAATCAACTGTGAGAACAATTTATTTCTCACGTGTGTGTTTTGTGTGCGTACGGTTTTTCCCGTAATAACGTAACACACGCAACACGCACGACGGCACGTCGGTCATACGGACGCTTAGATGGCGAATATCTTCAACGACGGCGTGAGAGAGTTACAGGGGCGAGCGCTGGGCGTGAGTGCCGCGGGAAGAGGAATGAAGACGCGGGCTTTTGTGTCGAAGGGAAATTAAAAAATAAACGGGTTACTGACACCCTTGTTGCTTCCTTTAGTGCAGCAAGGGTGGAAATCGTGGAGAATTAGTCAAACAAAGGGGAAGGCGATGATAATTTCCAACCCAGGAACGCAACTCTGTTTTTCCCACAAGGTACATTATTTGTCGAACGCGTTTTTTCCCAACAAGGCATTTTGCAGGAACGTAACCCCCGCGTTTAGCGGGGTCTGCCCAGTAGGGGGCACAGATGGTGCATCGGCCAGTCGTCTTAGTCGGTCAACCCCACGCCACTTGCTGGGTCTGTTCCATGACCTCCTGCCAGCAGCGAGCCTTCCGACACTTCACGTGGCCTCAAAATACACCTAGCCTGGCACAAGTTACACATGTGAATAAAAATTATGATCTACAGGATGACAATGGTGCAAAGCGGATTTGTTTGGGAAACACAGTGTTGTCCGTCCCTGTACACGCAGTCAGATTCAAGATGTAAGTTTTAGGCCTGGAGGCCAACCCTATGTCTGTGTGTGTGTGGGGGGGGGGGGGGGGGGTAGCCTGCCAGAAGCCTTAACGACTTAACCGTAATGATGGGTACAAACTGAGTAATCATTGGAAAGATGTTATTAACAATGCAAAAAAGATTTAACTTCACATTTTTGGACCATCTTATTTGACAGGTACTATTCTACTTTACCGAGTGTTAACATCCCCAGCGGTTAACAACACTCTTCTTTTTTGTATTTGGATTGCCACTAACACTGGGTAAAACAACATGTGCAGTGTCGTTCTCTTCAAGCATGTGCACCTTTAGCATGTGACCTGTTGTTCTCTTTTAGCCCCGCCCCCCCAATATGTTCCATTCATTGGCTACCACACTCAGATAAGCTCCTCCCCCCCCTTAACTTGTATTTAAGAACTTGTATCTTGAAATGTTTTGCCTCACTTGATACAGTAAATATAGCTGTGACGGTCCCACATGATGACGGAGACTTGTGTTGCCTCCGAAACGTCGTGATTTTTTTTTCTTTTTTTTAATTATTACTTTCATTAATTTTAATTTATTTTTTACCTACGTGACTTTACCGAAAAAACTTAAGAGTATGAATCCTTGCAGTCACGAAAGCTTCAAATCTAGAACCTTAACGACTTCACTGGCATGCCAAGTAAGTTTAAAAGTATCAAAGCCACTGACAACCGACTTGGTCGGCGACGCCACCACAACAATCTGATTGGAAGGCATCGGAGCATGCAAATCAGTTTCGTGCAAAGGCGGGGAGATTAAAATTATTCATAAGGAACGGTTGAAAGCCGTTGGAAAAGGGGAAAGGGGATTGGAAGAGAAGAGGAGAACTTTCTAGAAATGGTGGGGAGGGGGGGGGGTAGAGGATATATAAGGTGCCCGGGAGAGAGCTCAGGGCCCATTCTGGATTGAAGCCTCGATAAGTATGAACTACATGTGCTGGCACGTTATCTGCGAATAAACCGTAAAGTTGAGCGATGCTTACCTCGTCCCAAGTCCTTTGCAAGAGAAAAAGACATGGGGGCACTCGCTGGACAGGGTCGCACCGTGGGCCAGACGTGGCAAATCAACAAGATTGGATTTTTGGATTTTGGATTTTCCCCCACTTAACACAGTAAATCTAGCTGTGACGGTCCCACCTGATGACAGAGACTTGTGTTGCCTCTGAAACGTCGTGATTAATTATTTTATTTCAATAATTATTTCGGCAATTTATTATTTATTTTATTTTGACCTACATGACTTTACCGAAAAAGCTAAGAGTATGAATCCTTGCAGTCACGAAAGCTTCAAATCTAGAAATACTATAATCACCCAGGAATGTCTGTCCTTAACGCTCGTGACGTCACTCCACGACGACCAGCCCCCCCCCCCCTAATTAATATTCATGAACAGGTTACATCCTCCAAATGGACACCCCCCCACCCCTCATTCATAATGATGCGCACGTGACGTAACTCCACATCGAATAGCCCCCCTCATTAATATTCATGAGCAGGTGACGTCCTCCAAATGGACACCCCCCCCCCATTCATAATAATTAGCAGGTGACGTCACTCCACATTGGGGGGCCGAGGCGCCTCCTCCCCCCTCCTCGGCGTCAACTCACAACCCTCACTACAAAGGCAGAACCCTCACGTCACGTGATCTCCGTAACGCTGTTGAGACATCAAAGTAAAAAGGACGTTACGATGAACAAGGGATTATAACCTTAAAATGAAATAGATCTGTGTCACCGCGCCCTTACAAATTGCACACGCATTCATGCGATGAATATATCACGTCGCGCTCTGATTTTCGCTTGCACGTTTCAGATTTACTACAATACGCCCGTCCTTTGATGGGCAAAAGGCGAGTAAAAAATAATCGCCGAACTGCGACAAGTGATCAATTCCGAACCCCATCAAACGGCATCATCGATGCATGCGCAGTAACAGGAAACAATTGATCGGCGACAGAATGAATGATAAATGATGTTCGTGAAGAAGGAATCCAATCAGTGTCAAGGGGTGGCCAAATCGTCTCTTAAGATACAGGAATCACTTAAACGATAAAAATATATATATTCATCTTCTTGGTTCTTTCGGTAAAGTCACGTAGAAGGGAAGTAATAAAATAATAAAA